GAAAGGCTCAAACAACCACAAGCCAGTAAGCCATGCGCCTCAGCCACCCACCTAGACTGCACTGTGGGAGCTGGAGGAGGGCTGCGGCCTCAGATAACTGTCCTCACATCATGGGGATCTGAGGACTTACAGAATCCAGGCTTACTAAAAATTAAGCAAAAGTCCCAGGTTCCATTCCTGGGGGGCAGGGGGCAGATGACCACCCAGGGGTGGAGCCAGAGGGGGCAGTGCAGGACACGCATTCCACGGTGCACAGAGTGCACCTGCGGGGAGGCCTACCAAATGGTGGTGCAGCTGTGCCTTTCAAGGGCTCTGAGCACAGCCGCCTACAACCTCCCAGCATGGACAGAGGACAGTCGGGCTCCCTGCAAGCACCACAGTGCTGCCGCGGTGCTGCTTTTCAGGTCGCAGGTAGTTTCAATGCATCTCCTCAGTCACTTCTTCAAGTGTTTGCAAATTTATTATGTAAAAGAATAATGAATACTTAAAGAATGAGCCTTTGCTTTTTTTCTTTCTCTTTGAAGTACCAGGAATTGAGCGCAGAACTTCCTGCAGGTTGGACCAGTGCTCTACCACTGCACTACATCCCCTCCTCTCTTCTGACCTTATCAGGATCTGGCTCAGCTGTCCTGGCTGGCCCCAACTTGAGATCACCATGTCTTTGCCCCGAGCAGCTAGGATTACAGGTTCGCACCGCTGCGTGTCCATTCTTACCTTAAACTAGCCAACCAGTGTCAACAGAGGAAAACAGCTTCTACGGTCATGAGGCAAAATGTTCCATGAAAGAGCAGAGGCATTAAGAAAGAGCTACACAGGGGGCTGGCGAGATAGCTCAGCACACCAAGTGGCTCCTTAGGCAAGTGCAGGGACCGTGGTTCGATCTCTGCACCACATGCTGTGCCAATCCTGCCCCCAGAACGTGCTGCGCTGGCCAGAGTTCAGGCATAGTGACACATGGCTGTAATCCCAGTGCTGGGGAGGCTAAAGCAGGAGGCTCACTATGAGCAGTAAGACCCTGTAATGGGTAAATACATAAAAATAAAAAAAGAGAGCTACACAGAATCCTATACCTCTCACAAGGCTGATTCTTAGGATGACACTCTTATTTATTTATTTAAGGTAGGGTCTCACTGTATTGTTCAGGCTAAATTTGAACTCACAATACAGTCCCGGCTGGTCTTGAACTAGCAGCAGAGGCTTCAATCCATAGTCAGTTGGCTCCAAGGCAGGGTGGCATGGCAGAGGAAGCATGGCAAAGGGAAACAGCTCGTGGTGGCAGAAGACAGCAAAAGCAGGGAGAGTGGGAGAGACCAGGCTCTTCCTGTCTCTTACAAGGTGTCCAGCCTACTGGGAATGGGCAGTGCCCGTGCAGGCAGTGGGCTGACTCTGCAGCCACCCACCCTCAGTCCCAGCTCTGCACTCCAAATCAAGCACACACTCTAGATTCAGCCACCTTGGAAGAAAAATCCCTACAGCCACATGAGGCTTTGGGGACCATCTAGACATAAACCATAGCATTGTGCCTCTGGTGCCCCAAATACCCACACCCCTTTATGCTGTGCAGGGTATCTGTGGGGTTGAAATAAGGACCTGTGTATTCCTATATGGTCCCCAGATGTCAGCAGGCAATCAGAAGTGTTGCGGCTGAACAGAGCCGGAAACGTTGGACCCCACTCAACAAGCGTACCTGCTTCTCTCTAGAAATTACCTGATGTTATGTGAAATTCGGTTTAACCGCTCAGTGCTAAGGAGGCAGTGCACATGGGCCTCAAGCGCTGGGCAAACCAAGGATCTCCCATGGCTCTCGGGCCAGTGGGATCACATCCACACCTTCAAACCCATGAGGAAAGCAAGCCAGGGCTCAGGGCCCGCCTTCCACTGCCACTCCTGTCCGCAATTGCAGGAGCGCCCCACCAGATGCTGGGACGTGCCCCGCACCACTGGACTCTCTGACCTGTAGCAGTCCTGCCCCCATACCCAGGAGGAAACCCAGCAGGAGAGCTGGGCGGCCTTCCTGGGTGGCTCCGGGCAGTGCAGTGGCCGCTGGTCCTCAGGAGGACTCTGGAGGTGGTGCCCACTTCAGGGAGCTGGTAGGCCAGTCACTCATGATGGAAGAAGCAACGTGGTCTCAGCAGTGACCCTGAGCCCCTGAGACACTGTCCCTCCCTTCCACTCAGGCTGGAGGAGATGCCTGGTCCTCAGTGAGTGCCATGGCAGGGCACTGGGCACGCAGCAGAGCCCACACTGGGACAGTGCGCTGTGACTGCAACCTCCCATTGAAGTTACAGGGGGCACTTTGTCTTTTACCTCGGAGGCCAGGAAAGGGTAGTTTTGAAAAAGCAATATTTCTTTTTGGTTTTTTGATTTTGTTTTTAATTTTTATGTATTTGGTACAGGGTCTCACTATGTGGATCACACTTGAAGTGACTCTCCTGCTATCAGCCTCTTCAGCACTGGGATTACAGGCATGTGCCACCACGCCCTCAGAGCACCTGGGGGCGGGGCTGGTGCAGCAGGCATGGCATGCACTACTGGGGATCGAATCCTGGTGCCCGCGCTTGCCTAAGCAGGTGCTTAGTCTGCTGAGCTATCTCGCCAGCCCTGCAACAGGTCCAATAGTGGCCAACTGGGCACTGGAAAGTGGGTCTCTCAGCCGGTCATGGCACGCTGCCAGAATCCTGGCACTCCAGGAGGCTGAAGCAGAAGGATCATGAGACCACACCCTGCTTGGCCAATTCAATGACTCAGCAAGACCTTGTTGAAAACACGCAAACCACAGATGGGAAAGCCGAGTGTGCCGCTGACGGGCAGCGCACACTGAGTTCCAAAGCCACATCTGGACGGCACAGCTTGTCCTCATTAACCTGTTATCAAACTTTGGCCATGCTGCCACCCAGGGATCTCGGGAGGAAGAAACCTGCTAGGGACCTAGAGGGAGCCAGCAGAGTAGTCTTGAGTGTGCTGTCACCAGTACTGTGCCCACATCTGGAACCCAGAAGATGAGCCCCGGGGCTGGCAGTGCTGTCGCCAGCCTGAATTCCACTTGTCCTCCTTTCATACCCAGTAGAGTAAATCTAACTTATTTTCTGTTGCAAAATTTACAAATGCAAAACAACATGGAAAATGTCTATCTCATACATTTCAATGTCTTTTCCAACTTTACCTATAAAGGGTATAATTTTTTAATTTATATTTTTATGACATGATCAAAAAATTTTTAAAAATGGGGGACTAGTAAACAACAAAAAGCTATTCTAAGGTTAGGTTTTGGAGACCTTTATGTGATTTACAAAAAAGATTGGTAATTCTGTAAAACCTCAAGTTTTCCATGAACTTCAATGAGTTAGAAATACTGTTGTATATATTGCATTATTTAGGAATTTAAATTGAAGTTGGATGACCCATGAAAGAAACAGAGAAGGAAAACTAAAATTATGACTCATATGGCGACACTATCTCTTAGCAATCAAACTGTAAACTATTTTAATTCACTTCTAATTTCCCACTAGTCTCTGCCTTCATTCAGTCACTTAGCAAGAAAGCATGAAAGCTAAGTCATGTGTTTACAGAATATCCGAGCACTGGATACCAACGCAAGGGGCAGGGGCTTCCTTTCTGTTTATGCTGCCTTCTCTGCATGCGTGGTCAGAAACCCAGACCACATGTGCATCTTTCCAGTCAGACACATTTAGGTTCCATAAGAATTAAATGTCAGGGGCTGGTGAGATGGCTCAATGGTCTAAAGTACCTACTTAGAACAAGCTTGGCAAAGCACAGGGACCGCGGTTCAAACCCCCAGCACCACATGCCAGCCCGCCCTGCCCCCTGGTGGGCTGAGCTGGCCACACACACACACACACACACACAAAATAAAGAAAGAAAGAAAGAAAGAAAGAAAGAAAGAAAGAAAGAAAGAATTAAACGTCAAATGACATTGTCTGAAAGTTTCTAGGTACATCTCAATTTGTATATTAACTGTGTATTAATTTCTCAGTGTCAGCTTCAGCAAGGGTGCTAGTCATTTTAGACCAGGTTAATTGAATAAATTTCACATTAGCATCTTCTATGAATAATCATAATATGTAAAAATGCAAATGAACTGAAAACAGGAGAATATAAACAGTGAAATCCTGAGTCCTGAGCTCACCAATATGAAGGTTTTTCTGCTGGAATCTGGATTATGCAGCACTGCCCTCTGGTTACCAGGTGTGTGCTGGCCACACTGATCCGTGGGTGCAGGGGTTGTACACGAGTAGGTTTTCAGGGTTTTGGTAGTGCTTTGTCTATCCCTGACACATCTGTGGCTAAGGACCTCCCCACTAGTGCATGCTAGCTTTCATGTTTTCCAAGAAATATCTAAAGATAGCATTTTTCAGGAATTTGGTAAAGAAGTCTACAAAGAAGATAAAGCAATTCTCAGAAGGCTTCAACTGAGCAAGCGCACTGGGCAAGACTGGGTGCATTTCTGCCTCCATCCCGGGCTCAAGGTTACATTAGTGACGAGAATAACAGCCGAGTTTGCCATTGACGAGATGCCAGGAAATGTCTAATTTTCAGATGATCAAACAGCCTTGAACTTCTTCTGCTCAGTGACGATGAGGGCATGAGCTGCCTGACTGCCACAGAGACCCTGCACCAAGTCACCCGCAACGCAAGTGAGGAGGCCAGAGGAAAGATCGCGCATGCCATCAGGTTGGCTCTGAGAGAGGCGCAGACCAGGGCCTCCCACGGTTCACAGACCTGTCCCGCCTCCGGGAGCACTGAAGGCCATCTGGACCTCATTCCTAGATAGTTCCCTTGCACATCTATGCACGAGCCTTGCTGTGACCCCTTCCTCTCTGTGGGTGGGGAGGGAGCGAGAGGGGGCTCACACCTTCCAGCGAAATTACTTTGTTAGAAAGAGTGTTCGAATAATGCCGGACTTTAGGCCCACACTGTGGCAAGAAGCAGCCCTAAGAGTGGAGCCCCTGAGGGTCTGGGGCCACAGCACCTGCCCCTACCTGGTGTTCTCTTCTCGGCTGTGCAGGCAACAGTTCGCAGCATTCACCAGAAAGCCAAAGAGGCGGCTATACAGGGACTTGGCCAACAGGTCGCGGTGAACCTCAGCAATACGCGCAGTGTGGTGCCGTGTTATCCAGTCTCCTAAAGCAGGACAGTGAGAAAGAGGCTTAGCACCAGCAATTGGGAAGTGGCACAGCCTGGGCATCCTTCCTGTCCCCCCATCTATGGCTATGGAAGGATGTGGCAAATGGTCCTGTGATTCTAATACTCAACCAGGTCTCTGTGGGTTATCAAGTAAAATGTCCCTAAATGAGAGTGACATGCACTGTGATCTTCCTGCCACAGGCCCCAAGCACAGATCTGGACTCTCAGGAGGCCGTGTCATTTCCCCCGGGAAGCAGCCCTTCCCAGGACACCCCCAGCCGAGTTTTCTGATGGCTGCTCAGGGGTTTGAACACTGAATCCATCCAAGGCATCTGGGATCTGAGTATCTGGAGAAGGGGCTGTAGTCTTAATTCTGCTCTAAAGAACCCCAAGTGTGGGGCTGGAGCTAGGGAACAAGACTGGGCTCTCCCTCCAGAGAAACTGCTCTGTCATTCTCACAAGAGAGAGAACAGATGGGAGAGGAGACTCAGGAAGGACAGTGGCTGCTGAGGGGCACCGCAGCTGGCAGCAAGTGCAGGGGCCAACTGGATGGCCACCAGCATGGTGGCAGCCCAGGTACAGGATGCAATAGATGATAATAGGTGACCACACCTACAGATGCAACAGATGGTGACAGTGGCTCATTCTTCTCCAACAGTGTACAAAGGAAAAATGGGACGAGGTCTCAGGAGTAACTTGGGGAGCACTAAGTGCAAATGGGAAACTCAGCAGGTCCACAAGTGTGCACATGCAGCTCCGGGAGCAGGGGTAGGCCAGACAGCATCAGCCAGGCAGCCCAACACCTGCAGCGCAGTGCGCAGGGGAAGCCAGCAAGACACGCGGCGGCTTAGAGAAAAGAGAGCACTTTGGAGGATGGTGGGACAGAAGGGTCACAGGTTCAAGCCAGGCACTTTAGTGAGGCCTTCTCTTCAAACTTAAAAATGATAAAATAAAAGGCCTGGGGATGTAGCTTAGTGCAAAGGCTTTGGTTCCATTCCAGGTACAGAAGAAGGAAGAGGAAGAAGGGGGAGGTTTGGAAGGGAGGGGAAGAGAGCATCACTACCCCAAGTCCCACACTGACAGTGACACAGAAGCTTGCAAGGAGCAAGTCCTGGAACAGCTGAGGGCGTGGAGGAAGCCAGACCCTGCACCCAGACAGCTGGGGCTCGCGCAGCTTCCACTCCCGCCCGGTCGGTGGTGGACTGGGCTCAAAGTGGTCTGACCTCTTGAGTCCCAGCTTTCTCATTGTTAAAATGGCTACATTATGCCCACCTCACAACGACTTGTAAGAGATCACAAGTAGCACAGTCAGGGTGCTGGATGCAGTGCCCACTCATCCCGAATCTCAACAAAGGAAGCTGCTGTTCCGAGCGCTGAGAGGGAGGGCGGCTCTTGGCACTGCCCAGGACAGCGCAGCCCCACGCCATGGGGAGCACACTGTATGGGAGCCCAGCCTCCAAGAGACAGCATTGCTAGAAAGGGTGACCCATTCATCGAGTGTGCCTTCAGAATCCTAAGGCATTTACGGTTTAGAGCCAAATCAGGGGACAAGAGTTCTAGATGCTTCTCTAAATTGGCCCTCAATTGACAGAACTAGTTCCCTGGGCAGGGACAGACAAAGGTGTGCTTAACCCTCATATGTGAGCAGGACCAAAATTCATAACATGGCAAGTATCATCTGCAGAAAGCTTACCTTTAACATACTGAATATCGGTTGTTAGGGCAGAAGCCAGTTCGTCTGCTGACACCTGCAACATCCCAGCCACTGAAACCAAAGCAGCACGAGAGACACAGTCAGCAACCCTGCTGGATACAAAGAGCGTCGTGCCCTGCAGTTTCCTGCACTTCATGTGTGCTGAGGAGAGCGCATGTGCGCTGTGAAGAGAGCAACATGGCTGCAGGCCTCAGACTGGAGCGAAAGGTCATCCTCGCGGGGCGCCCTCCCGACTCCCGGATGGCACCCGGGCTTCATTTCCAGATTCCTTACTAAGTCACTTTGGTGAGAGCACAGAGGCCACATGACGGCAAGCGGCAGTTCTGAGGTCTTCTGAAAAAACTGCACGTAATTAGCAAGTCGCCTTTTGAAAGAGAGGGAGCTTTCCAGGGAGATCTTTGAAGGGAAGCCATTATACTACGCGTGTTAGACATGCTGAGCCAACAGCACACCTCTCAGATACTCTGAGTAGGGAGGGGGCGGAGAACACCAGAATGTGACCAGAGGAGCCCGAGTGGGAACGAGAAGTAAGCAAGGGAAGGTGGCGGCAGGGCGAGAGCGCAACAGCTCATCCTGCTGATCCTCCACAGCCTGGCTTGGAGAAGGAATCGGAGCCCGCAGGTTCTGGCCTCCTGGAATTCTCCAGAGGACTGCTTCCCTGACAGCTTTGGTGGACTGTGTCTCCCTCTACTGGCCATCTGCAAAGTGCACACCACGGAGCCCGGCCAGGCCAGGTGGCCAGGAGCTCTGACCTTGCTCCAGGAGCTGGAGGTCGGACACGAAGGCGACGTCAGCGTCAGTGAGCGCAGTGAACTGGATGTCCCCGAGGTGCAGGATCGCGGTTAGAATCACCATCAGGTTCTCCACCTCCTGCACCATTGACAAACAGAGAAGACAGGGCTGCTCAGGAGGAGGGCAGCTAGGCACGTCCTCACCCCTGGAAGTCTGTTACAGGGACCCGCCACTGGGATCGAGGCTGCTCAGACCCCAAGTGCTGGGTAAAACAGCTATGACCGTCTGGCCCCAAGTAGAAATCCCATAATCAATGAGTAGCTCTTTTCCATCAGCGTTTCTTTTCCTCAAATGTAAGGGAGGAGGAAAATACCTTCTGATATAAGTTAGGGTCTTCTTACTTGTTTTTCGAGGCAGAGTCTTACTATGTCATTCAAGCTGGCCTTGAACTCATTATGTAGCCCAGGCTGCCCTTGAACTCACAGTCCTCCTCAGCCTCTGAAGAGTCAGGATCTCAGCAGGTGTGCCCACTACACCTAGCATTTCAAGTCTTCTGAATGTTAATTGTGATTACAGGTAGAAGCCTGCCTGGGTGGAGCTCATCTTGAGGGCCTCCCTGTGTGGTGCTGAGCCTATTTCTGCCCTGCGCCTCCATCATGGCCCCTCCCGAGTTATCACCTCAGGTAAGCTGAGGAGGCAACTGCACCATATTCTACTTCTGGCTCAAGATGCCAGAAAACACAGCAAAGTTCAGGAGCCCTCTGGGTACACGGAGAGGAGGAGGCTCCAGGGAGTGGGCCCCAGAGCTGGGTTCTGCACAGCAGGGATGGAGGCTGCAGCTTGTTTTGGGACAGGTGTTTTACAGCGAGAATGAAAAACCAAGAAAAAGTGGACCATGAAAGGCAACTCAGGTTGACTCAGAGCACAAGCAACAGGACATTCATGGCTCACAGCTCTAATCTGCAACTTGGGCAGAAGCTCCAGCCACGCCCACAGGCTCACCCTCTAAGAACACCAATCCACTCACGCCCAAAACAACAGAGCCCTTGGGGCTTCTGTCATCTTCTCCAATCTCCATTTTGTCAGTGGTGTGTGAGTGTGTGTGAGTGTGTGTGTGTAGCACTAGGAATTGAACCCGGAGCCTTTGCACTGAGCTATATTTGCAGCCTCCTCTTTATTTAATTTATATGGAGACTGGCTCTTGCTAATTTGCTAAATTTCCTGGGCTGGTCTTGAATTTGTGATCCTCCTGCCTCAGCCTCCTAGACTGCAGGGATTAGAGGCTTTCGCCCCTTGCTTTTGTCACCTTTTGAAAGACAGCATTGTTGTAGATGGACTAAGGGGCTTACAGGTAGAGCGCTGCAGGATCCTGACATTATGTGAAATTGTCTACAAAATTCCTAAATCATTAATCAGTGTTTCACATTTAGTTCACTTTTGCTTTATATAGAGTAGCAGTTTCTCAGCCTTTTAAGCTCACTAACACCTTTTTATTTCTCAGTAATTCCTAAAGTTCTTCATTAAGTATTTAGTATCTGCCGGACAGATGGAAAAACAGAATTTGTACTGTGCTCAGGGGTCATGCGGTTTAGTAACGGAGGAGGTACGTGTCATGGTGTGATGGATGCCATGACAGGGAGCTCGCAGCCCTCCGTGGACAGCAAGGCTGGGAGCTATCACGCGCGCCTGTCCCTGCCATTTCTCCAGCCCCAAGACGAAGCCTTGGCTGAGGGCACAGGGCACAGCTCTAGATGACCAACTACCGAGGCCCACAGCTGGCTTCTGGGTGGGCTCTGGTCCCAGGGTCTCCCCAGCAAGGAGCTCCTTCCCATGAGGGGCATCTCCAATGGGTGAGTGTCACTGCTCAAGTCACTTCACAGGCACAGAGTGAAGCCGCCTCTCACAGCTATCACTGTCCTCTACCAAAGCACAGAGAGAGAAACAGGTCATAACTAGTATACCACGGGAACTCTGCTAGCTCCTCAGCCAGCTCTCTTAGTTCTCTCCCTCAGAGAACTGTTAGTTCCCTTTGTATTTTGCTTTCTCTGACTTGAATATCAATCCTGGATTTTCAAAGCCCTGTTTCCAAGCAACTGGGTTTTGGTAGAATAGCTCCCTGCCCCTGTCTGTGCCCGCTTTTTGGGAGAAGCTAGAAGCTTTAGGTGGGTGTCACAGTTTCTATCCAGGGGTCTCCAGAGCCTCACACACTCATGGGCTGGGCTGTGGGAGGTGACTGCATCACAGGTGTGCTGTACTCGTGGGGGGTGGGCTCTGGAGTGCGTTTAGAGCCAAATGTGACATTGGGAGGTGGGACTGGAGGAGGAGGTGGCTGCGGGGGCGTGGCCAGGAAAGCTCTCTCTCCCTCCGCCTCCTTGGTCTCTCTGCTTCCTTCCTGCCTGCCTGCTGTGTGCTGTTTCGCCTCTGCAGCGCCCCGCTGCCCTTCAGCTCTGCCATGGAGCCAGCCGACAAGACAACTGAACCTCTATGGACTGTGAGCCAAAACAAACCTCTCCTCTTTAGAATTATGGGTGTTGGGTAATGTGTCTCAGTAAATCAGAAGTAGCTGAGATGCTGGGAAGTAATAAAATCAGAAGAACCTGGCAGTAGCAAGTGCAAAGATGAAACTGCACGTGAGCAGAGTTCGTCAAAGCACAGAGAGAGAAACAGGCTCATTAGAGCGGAAAGGACAAGATGCTGTCTGGCCACAGCATCTAGAATTCCAGTCTCTAATAGAAATAAAATAAAAATCCCACTCAAAGTCAGGCATGGTGGCACTTCCAGTAACCCTCACACTCCAGAGGCTGAGGCAGGAAGATCACTTCCAATTCAAGGCTGGCCTGGGCTGCACAGTGAGCTTGATGCCAGCCTGAACTACATAGAGAAACCCTGTCTCAGAAAGCAAACACCTGGACTCTGAACACGAGCACGGACCAGACCAAGGGTCCCAAGTGATTTCTGGTAGGGCCCATTCTCCTGGAGTGACCCTCTCCTGGAGCACGTCCGAGTCACTCTCAGTCATTTCTCCATTTGCCACTCCTGGCACAAGGGAAAACCCCAGGCCCACTCTGGTCACAGGCAGAACATCACACTTGTGATCAAGTCTGGGCTTGTGTTTTCGTGGCTTCTCAGCGTTCCTCTGCTATATCAAATTAATTGCCCCCAAGGACTCCGCCATAACCCAAAGCTCAGCACGTGGAAGTGGGGAGTGTGGCGACAGCTGGAAGGAGAGCCGTGGGTCTCACTGAGGCTGGACCACTTTATGTTTATGACTAACTAGACTGTGCTGTTCACATCAGCAATACACACAGTCATTTAGGTTTTAACTAGTTAAAAGAAAAATATTAAAATTTCACTTTTTTTCTCTCAAGAGCCACCCGCCAAGTGCCCAGGAGTGGTGCAGGGTGGACAGCATTGTTGTCCAGCCCAGGTCAAGAACTTCTCCGTTATCAGAGATGACCCCACAGACAGCTGCCAGAAAGGCTTTGCTGTGGTGCTGTTTGGCTTCATAAGATTTTCAGGTATTATTTAAGAATAAAAACACTTTCTAGTAAGTAAACATTTTAATAAAGTGATTATTTTCATTTTCAAAGCGATTTTGAGCAGTCAACAGTTTCTTGGGGTTTTCTAGTGTCAGTTCAAAAAGTATGATCAAAACTACGACTAAGACTTAAGTTAAAATAGTCATTGTGGTAAAAGGCACACCACTGTGAGCCCTCCAAAGCCTCCCCTCACTGCAGCACACTCGGCATCCTTGACACTTTCTGATGTGGCTCTGGAGTCCTTGTTCCTGAGTGGCTTCAGGTGTGCTGTTGGGGCTGCTACAGTGTCCAGAATAGATTCAATGCCTTCACGTTTTGTGGTTGTCTTGACTTGCGGGGGGGGACCTGGAAGTCACACAGGGCCACACGTGGTGAGTGAGGGGGTGAGGAGGTAGCATCAAGTCTTGGAGCCACCTTTCTGTCCATGGCCTGGGCAGCAGCATTCACTGTGCTTTTGATCACACTATGTAAAGACATTCATGAAAGAGCTTCAGGGCCTCTGCTGAGTGGCAAGAGTGATGAGATGAGTGTGTTCAAGGAAAATATTTTAGGGGGATAGCGTCAGTGTGTCTTTTACTGAGATAATTTTGTTTTGTTTTTTTGAGTCAGGCTCTCACTATGTAGTACAGGCTGGCTTTGAGCTCACTATATAGCCCAAGCTGGTCTTAACTCACAGGGTTCCTACTGCCTCAGCTTCCTGAATGCTGGGATTATAGGTGTACAACCCCATGCTTGGCTGAGATAATTTTTAAAAATATAAACATTCACTGTATGCTTTGCCCACTTCTTGAAGTTACTGGACCTATTCTGGACATGCACCTGCACTTCTCTGGGGACAGGCCTCCAGGCCACCATGATGGAGGCCACACCACTCCAACCTGTGCTGCAGGTTTACCCTGCGTCCTGCCACCTCCGCCTTCTCATGCTCCTGGGCCTCCATGTCCTCCGACCCTCCCAGAATGTGCACTGTGGGAGGAGAGTCCCCAAGCCCGCAGCCACCTCTGCACGCAGCAGGGTGCAGGAAGCACTATCAAGTGAGTGACTAGTAGACCCTGGTGCAGGCTGGATTTCCTAGCGAAACACCGAGATGACTCACCAGGCTGCTGAAGCCAATTACAGCCAGAGCTTGTCTCAGAGCCACAAATCTGTCCCTGTTCAGCACGTGCTCTGCAGTGGCTGTGTCTCCTCTCGTGATCTGGTTCAAGTACCTGTGAAGATAAACACACCATGTTATGGCTCCGCGTGGAGTGTCACTTCAGCCTCACTTGCCTCCCCCAAATGAGGTCACCTGGACACCATGTGCCCACTACTGACAAAGCTCTGGACCTGACAGCACATGACATTTCTGCAAGGGACAAGCACAGCTCTTGTCGTCCCAGAACATATTACGTTGTGTGACATGGCTCTCACTCCAGCTGCAACTTCCTGGAGCGGAGCAGGATGCAAGTTCCTCCTCTTCTGCAGGTAGGCGCTCGGGAGAGACTGTCTGAGGCACTGTGATTGACAGCCGCGTTTGAGAGGCTGAATTCCCGCCAGCTGGCTGCCTCTTCTCACCGGGGCCTTTTAATTATGAGGAAGCTGATTAATTCACAGATTTATTCCCTTCATTCGGCAAACATGGAGGAATCATTTATCCAAACAGACCATAGGAAGCAGCTGAGGCCAGGAAGACGAAGGGGGCGGGTCCTTTCTGGAACCCAACAATGGCAAGATAATGTTCCCAGGGACAGAGAGGGGAGAGCACAGGACCCTGAGATGGTACTGAAACAGAACAACAGAAAGCAATGAAACAAATCAGACCCACACTTACATAGTGCATGAGAAACTCAACGTATAAATGATAGAGCAAAATAAAAGGCAGATACCAGCAACCGGGGGATGGATCTTTTGCAAAGGAGAAGGAGACCCAAAGAGGGAGGGAAGGGGAGGGGGAGGGGAGGAAAGAACTACTACGAGGAAGGTGCCCACCAGGTACGGCAAGCTTCCCTGATACAAACGAAGACGTAGAATGACAAAAGGTAACAATAACAAAGTATTAGGGAAAGGCTGGCCCCCAGAAGTAGCTGAGGAATGAACTCCGGAGGGAGGAGGGCTTCCGTCCCAGTGCGGACGTGAGTGGGAGGTCACCAGCAAGCACCTGTAGGCACGGCACCTGAAGAACCAGGGGACACAGGAGGGCCCCGCAGGGAGGGCCCCGCGATGGATGGTGCCAGCCAGCTAGCATCTGGTGCATGAGGAAAAGTGCCTGGGCTGCAGCTTCGGGGCCCCTCACAGGGTCCTGGGCAGGTTCTGGGCAGCTCTGAAGGCCAGAAATGGACAAGAGGCCCCATGGAGTTCAGGGAAGGGCTCCTGGTGCCCCAGAGAAGGGCCTCTGGGAAAGAGGAGGTCACGGAGGGCCTTGGGGACAAGGGAGAGAAGGAAGACTGAGGAGCGAGAAAGAGCGAAGAGAGGGGCGCAGAGGGCAGGCGGGTGCTCTTGTAATGAGGGGAGGGGTCGAAGGGGTCGCAGGAGGAGGGGACGGTGGGAGAGATGGCCTCACGTGAGAGGGCCTTGTGTTGCTCCACAGCCCCGCCGATGTAAGCTACCGCTCGGAGGGCACAGGACAGCCAAGGAAGGACAGAACAAATGCTGGGGACTCAGGAAAGCTACGAGAGTCTGCAAGCCTAGAGAATGCTAGGGTAAAACCTAGTGTACAGCAGCTCACCCTGGGAGGATCCAAGGCCATCAGGGATGCAGGACACATTGGATTCAGACAAAGCAGAGTGAGGAAAAAAAGTCAGATCAAGACCACTGAAGCCAGAGGACCACGTGTTGCAGACAGACTGGGAGAGATTCTGGGTACTCGGGGTGCTGCCTGAGGACCAGCAGGTACAGAGAAGCAGAGTCCGAGGGCCTCTGCCCCCGGGGTGGGGCAGAAATGGGTGCTTCGTGCCCAGGGTCACTGTGCCAGGCAACAGAGACTCTGCCGAGGAGGATGGGCTGCCGAGGAGGATGGGCGGGAGGCTTGGTGTTGGTTCAGGAGGGACCACCAGGGAAGCTGAGCTCCGAAGTCTTTGGTGCCAGCCACTGCTGCGCTTCAGGATCTGCAGGGTGAATGCAGGACTCTGAGCAGCTGAGACTGGGAAGGGTAGGGAAGGGGGTGACCAGCGCAGTCAGTAGCGACCCAGTGCCAGCCCTGGGCCTCAGGGTAGGAGGAGGAGTCACACCGTGCTATCCCTTAGTGGGGCAACAGGGCCATCAGCTGCATGGGGCTCTACTTTTGAGTCAGCAAAGAGAAGATTCTTGGCCTTAAATGTATGGCTGAGTTGGTGACTGAAAGGAAAATCATGAACACAGTCACACTGAAAGCCCAGCCCCACAACTGCTTTTCTCCTGGTATTTCTTACTAATTTCTATGCATCCTTTCTCTTGAAATGTTAATTGGTTATTTAAGAATGGTAGTTTTCTTTTTCCTTGAGATGAATTCTAGGGGAAAAAATGTATTCTGTATTTGTAAAGTGACAAGGTGCTTAAAAGTCCTAATGGATGTGAAAAGTATCACTTGGTGATATGCGTATTCAGCAGGTACTTAATGTGCAGATTTGTTGGAGAACCAGAGAGGAAAGAAAGGAAGTAGGTGGGGAGGGAGGCAGGGAGGGAGGCAGGGAGGGAGACAGGGAGGGAGGG